TTGTTGTTGTGGTTGTTTTGCTCTCTTTTGCCAATTGTTTGCTATGGTTTGGTATTTGTCTGTTGTTAGTTGCTCTCTGTCGTTTATTTTCTTTGGTTGTTATCGCCTCTGTGTCCTGCCGTGGCTTTCTGTTGTCTTCCTCTCTTTGCAGGAAATGGTGGCCATTTATAGGCCTCGTCGAGAGGCTCCTCGGACCGGTCCAAAAAGGGCTCTTTGGCGAGTCACCAGACTATGGTGGTGACTCACCATAGAGTTGTAGCGTCGAGGGGCAGCTGGATCTTCTGGAGCGTTATGTTGAAGCGGTGGCAGCAGCTTCCTGAGACGTCGATGTGGGGCGGCTGGAGACAGAGGCGGCGGCTGGTGATGAAATAAACCCTAAATGGGTTTAGGGTTATTATTGGGTCTGGGCTTCCGAGATTATTGGGCCTCTGATTTGGGTTTTGTAATATTAATAAATAATATATAATATTAATAATAATTATAATAATAATAATAATAATAATAATAAATTTAAATTTAAATTTAAAATGAAAAAATTGATGTCTTCAGGTATAATGTTGCTGTGGAGGAAGACCAGAAAGTGGTGTCCAGATACCGTAATGCTTTACGGGATTTCTTTCACTTGTCGGGCATATTTGTTTTGGGAGATGCTGTCCCTTTTCTCCGACGTCTGGATTTGGGCGGCTAGGAGAAGTGGATTAAGAAAACTGCTAAAGAGTTGGACGAAATTGCCGATGGATGGCTCTATGACCACAGAAAGAGCGGAAGTTGGGATGTGAACAAAAAGGAGAAGGATTTCATGGATGTTATGAACTCTGTTCTTAAAGGTGCAAGTCTCGCTGGATATGATGCTGACACCATCAACAAGGCCAGTTCCTTGGTACAATCTTTTTCCCTCTTTTGTAATAAAAATCTATTTCACCATTAATCGGTTCTAATTTCTAAAAACTATGATTGCAGAATATGATTTTAGCAGGCAGTGACACTACAACCGTTACCCTAATATGGGGTCTCTCGCTTATGCTAAACAAACCTCATACGCTCAAAAGGGCTCAAGAAGAACTGGACGCCCATGTAAGCAGGGACCGGTTTGTGAATGAATCGGACATCGGGAATTTGGTGTACATCCAAGCCATCGTGAAAGAGACATTGAGACTGTATCCACCTGCACCTCTTTCAGCTCCTCGTGAGCTCAGTGAAAGCTGCACCATTGGAGGATATGAAATCCCCGAAGGCACTCGCCTGATTGTGAACCTTCATAGGATCCAAAGGGACCCTAACGTATGGGCAGAACCATCGGAGTTTATGCCGGAGAGGTTTCTCACAACCCACAAGGATGTGGATGTTAGGGGTCAGCATTTTGAACTGATGCCCTTTGGCAGTGGTAGGAGAAGCTGCCCTGGAACATCGTTTGCGCTTCACATGCTCTACTTGACCATGTCTAATTTCTTACACGCCTTCAATTTCCCTACGCCAAATAACGGTTTGATCGACATGAGTGGCACCGTAGGATTGACTAACATGAAATCAACGATTCACAGATCTTCATTTTCACCATCTTTTGTTCTTTGAAACGATCTCAAAAGAAACAATCTCCGAGTGTTGAAGCCATTACATGTCTCATCTCTTCTGTAGGGCTGTTTTGGTCGACTGCCAAAGGCCCAAAGAGGAAGGTGATCTGGTTCATAAGTCTGGATACACAAATGATTCCACCGCCACCGTCGATGATTTCCTTCCCTAGATCGGATGTTGCAGTGGGTCATAGGTTTGTTGAACTTCTTTCATTATTCCTAACGTTTCAACTATCAAGAGGAAAAAATCGTTATTCCTATTATTTTCTATGAATCAGTACATTCTGATCCAGGAAACTTAAGGAAAGTCTTTTTCCCTCAGAGCTTAGGCAGCGTCAGTTTAAAATAAAGGTTTTTGCTTTATTGCCAATTTATTTATTATATAGCGATGCATAGTTTGAATGGAATCAATTGAGTCAACAATGTCTTGAAAATAAACTTAAATAATGTTTTGATGACATATATTTCAATGTGCAAGGAATGACAATACGTTACTTTCTATTAACCTGCTATACATTAGAGTAGCTTGCAGCTTATTCATTCATTTTGGTTCTTCGTGATATCTGTCATAATGATCCATGCATTTTGTTGCATAGGAACTGATGGAAAAGTTAAAAATGCCATCAAATGCCCTGTTGATGCAAATTGCATAAGATGACTTGAGTAATTCATCTTTGTCTTTTGAAGATCGCTACTGACAAACGTCGTAATTGTCAAATAATTATAATTTTTAATTCTCAAATAAACAAATATAGAGAAATAGAGTCGATCCATATAGACTAAAAAAATTTGATAATATTGTTTCTTTGATTGAATAAACTGCAAGAAAATAAAAAGGAATTTAAAATTAATGAAAATAAATGAATAAAATAAATACTGAATAAAAATATAGTAATCATATAGTGACTAGTTATATTTCTAACGAACTCCTAAGATGTTTCCCCTTAATTGACTTGCTTTCGTCGCAAGAAAGAATCTGTCAAGAAAAAGTTGAGTCATATCTGTCCACATACTAATAGAATTTGGTGGTAAATAAAATAACCAATCCTTAGTCAAATCGGCTAAGGAAAAGGGAAAGCACGAAGTTTAATATGATCCTCAGATACTCCTTGTGGTTTCATGGTGGAGTAAACCATGTGAAATTCGGTGAGATGCTTATGTGGATTTTCACTTGGTAATCCATGGAAGGTAGGGAAAAGATGAATTAACTCTATCTTGAGTTCAAACGATGTTTCTCTTTGAGGGAATGCAATGCATAACGGTGTTGGTTTGGCAGGTATCGTAGCTAATTCTCGGATTGTTTGTTGATCCATTGGAATTGATTATTTGAAGTCTTCTTTAGCGTTAGAGAAGGTTTCTGCGTCAAAGGGTATCTCCGGATTAAGTTCGGATTGTTGTGATTTGTGTTGTTGTAATCGCATTTCTCGTAGTGTACATGCGCATATTCTTCGGGCTAGTGCTTCGATCCACAGAGAGTAAGAAAGTTTGATAATGTTGTTTCTCGGATTGAATCAACTACAAAATAAAAATAAAAAGGGATTTAAAATTAATGAAAATAAATAAATAAAAAATAAATACTGAAAAAATATAATAATGAGAAAATAAATAAAGTAAAAGAATTCAATAAAGATGATATAGCCTCAGGTTTTGCTTAGTCCCAATTTCGATCGATCATCAAAATAAATTTTTCTTTCGTAATGTATGTCGGTTATAGTCAATAGGATCAAATTCCTACAGCTAACTCTTCTCTCCGGTTAATCAAAATTTCTAAGTCTATCTCCGAAATCTGATCTTTGTTGGTCTAGCCAAGTCTATCACCATTAGATCAAAAAAAATAACTTTAAATTCTGGCAAAACCCGACTTGACTTATAGCATATCACCGAGAATCAAACTCGATCTTGATTCCCCTTAATGGACTGCTGCTAAATTTGTTCACATGAAGTCGAATTACAACCAACCGATCTAACTTCCAAACTTCAAGAAAAACAATCTTCAAATCAAATTACACTTTTTGAGTTGAATTTGTAATAACTTTTAAGAGAATGATCGATTACCACTCCCAATTTCTAGAGAATCAAGAATACGATCTAAAGGTATGAAAATCAAGATTCAATTCTCACCGATGGAATTGAGTTTCGCAAAAACCTTTGGCTAAGTAGAAGTTTAGCCAAACATGAATTTGATCATGCTTAGCATTGTGAAAAGAAAATAATGAAAGATTCAATTCTACGTAGATGAAAGAAAAGTAGAACTTCAATAAATAACCAAGGAAAATAAATTCCAATAGGAGTTTCAACAGTTGAATCTAAGGGGTATTTATAACCCGAGAGTTCTAAGAAAATAAAATAATTAATCCCTAAAATAATCAAACTAAAAATCTTAATAAGAGTTCTAATAAAATATCTAATTCTTAAATAGAATAATCAAACTTAAAATTTTAAATTAAAATGTTTATCATAAAAGATAAATATTTAAGTCTTATGGTTGAATTCTTCTTCATCTTCTGGATAACATTGTCCCAAATAAATTCCAAATTAAATGTTCACGGAAGTTCTGCTTGTCTTCTATAAGATGCTGAATGGACTGTCGAAATCTATTAGTTTTTAAGTTAATTAATTCAATGAAGCTCCTATCCAAAATAAACTCAAAATAAAGATAAATCAATAATATCCAAACGATAAATTAGTAATAAATAATAATAAAAAATATGTAATATTAAACCCTCATTATCCACGGTGCTTTGCAAGGGCTTTTGATATTTGTCGCGCCAAGCGATAATGCAAAATGGTAAGCTATGTTTGCCCATAATTGGTTTACTTAGCAGCTTGAAGAATTGATGTCTATCCATTTCTTTCCAAATTCTTTCCATAATATCTGTTTAGCTTTGAACATCTGAATTATTGACACGAGCATCTATTTGCAAGCAAAATTTTAGAAATTTAAAGATGGTTTTATCTATATACGAGTGTTGTTGTCTTGTTTCATTTCTTCACTTTGTTGCTATTAACTGAACCTGAATGACAGTAAGTCAAGCTTTAGAATGTTAGATTTAACCCCTTCTACAAAAGGATTACTATAATATTTACAAGCTACAATGTGGCTAAGACCGGCAGATTATTGAACTTTACCTGCCATATTAGGTTTTATTTGAGTGGTCTTTTGCTATGAAACTTCGATACAATATGGTAGTGTAGAAAATATTTAGAAAAAAAAGAAAATAATTTTTATTATAAGCATACGCAGTGTTAATCAGTGTTGTCTATGCTGACCGGAAAAGGGGCTCACATCAGATGCGAATGGGTTATAATCCGTATCGTAGTCGAAAGTCGTCTGCTGTTGATGATTGTTCTTGTGGTGCCCCGCTGTTAACTGGGCATACTCCGCCACGTTCCATACCTTCACCGAATTATCAAGGCTCACTCACCGATTCATGATCCTTTTCCACGGCCAAGCACTTCACCGGCCCCATTTGCCCCGTCAGCACGCAGAAGGGTATGGATGTTGCCGTCCTTCCGCCAAACACGTATAGTCTTATCAGCAGATCCGCTAAAGACCAGATTCTCAGTCGCAGCGAGGCAAAGAACCGCCTGCTTGTGCCCATTAAGGACCCCGCAGTGGGCTAGTTGCTTCTCAACTTCCCAGAAATTGACTACGCCGTCACTGGAGCCACAGTACAATACCGAACCCTTGGTGTTGATTACCAACGCCGTAACAGCACAGCCTTGTTTTAAAAGAGTTTGGGCCAACATATGCTTTGCTCCTTTCCGGTGTTGTTCCCTTTTCCACACTTTAACGGTTCCATCTGCGGAGCCGGTGAAAACCATTTCACTCAAGGTCGAAACCACGGAGTTAACGGCGTCGTCGTGTGCCCGAATCGATTCAAGGCATTTGGAATCAGAAATCCTCCAAACTTTGAATGTCCCATCCCATGAAGCATAATAAAGAAGACCTTGTTCATGATTCAAGCTCAAACACGACACCGCATCCGAATGTTTTATCCATAAAGACCGCTTATGCTTCACTTCCACGTAATTTCTGGGTTTAATGGAACTTTTAAGGACATCTTTGAGAGTTGGCAAAGTTCCAGTTCGTTTGTAAATGCTGGGGTCCTTAGGGGAGATTGTCCAAATACGAATCTTCCCATCTTGATGACCAGTAAAAATCTTTTGCCCGGATATCACAATGGCCTTAACCAACCCGCTGTTTGATTTAAACCCCGTGAATTCCTTCAAGTTCTTCCACACACGAATTTCTTACTATCGGAGCCGGTGTAAAGAAGATCCTCTGTGGAAGCCAAAGAATAAATATGACCCTCTTCACGTGTAAGCGAGCCGATGAGGCTGTAGCCGGAACGCTGCCGTTCTCGGAAGAGAGAGCTGAAGGTTTCATGAAAGAAGCGGTTCGGTTCCAGGGTGACATGGCCAAGGGTGAGCCTTCAAGGCTCGTCCTATGGGATTCAAAAAGGGCAGGGCCGGAAGTGGAAGCGCTGCTATAACGTATGTACAAATCATCTTCACTCCCAGAAGCAGTGATGGACATGTTGGGATCCGAATGCATAATGTTTCCATACTCGGATCTCAGAAATCTATCAGCCTCTGCATACATTGTGCCCAAACTATAATAAAATATAGAAAGAAGAACGAAGAAAATGCGTGGAAGAGATCTAAGAGGATATCAATATTGTTTAAACACGAAAACAGATTAGTCCAGACAAAACCTTAGAACCAAAATCACAATCGATTGCATTCTCATCGGGACCATGCATTTATTTGCAATTACCCAAGTGGGGGGAGGAACGGTACAGCGGGATTGGGGCTATCAGAATCTGGACTAGTGTTTGACCGAGTATATAGACATGGTCCAGGGAATCCGGGTTCGGTTGCCTTATAGCGACGTGCTTGGTAGTTTTATGGATTTAACGTACTATTTCTTATGCGAAATATTCATTTAATCGGATAACTTATTTTTTTAATTAAAATTTGGAAATTTCTGATAAAGAATTGTGTCTAAAATTAGGATTTAACTAATTTGCTGTAAAAACAACTTTTTACCTAAAATGACAGAGAAAAGTTACAAGGGAAAAACCAATAAAAAATAAAAGGGAAAAATCCCACTTGGTTTTGTACGGATCCCATCGTCAAGTGAATTGAACATTTAAATTGTAACGTCAATTACTTTAGGGATTGAAATTTAAATGTAGTGGTATTAATATAATGTTAATTATTTTGAATATTTTTTATATAAAATTTTATTACTATTTTTAAATAAAAAAATTCTAAGATATATAAAATTGTGAGAAGATTAAGCTTCATGAGGTAACGAGCTGCAATTAGGAGTGGGAATAGGCCAGGCCAGCCTCCAGGGGTCTGAGCCTGGCCTGTATAAAGTCTGGCATGGCCTGGTCTATTTAACTAAACAGGCCAGGCTCAGGCCTTTTTAAAAGCCTATTTAACTAAACAGGCCAGGCTTAGGTATATTAAAAAGCCTTATAAGCCTGATAGGTCGGCCTATTTAGAGTGACTACTTTGCAAAATATACTAAGTTAGAGTGACTTAATAGGGATTTTACTCTAAAATTATTGACTAAACTGAAAATATTAAATGTTTATTGTTAAACCGACTTTTAAACATGCTTTTAAACAGGCCAGGCTTTTAAACAGGCCCAGGCCAGGCCTAAATAAAAGCCATTGACAGGCCACAGGCCAGGCCCAGGCTTATTAAAACCTGGTCTGGCCTGACCTATTCCCACCCCTAGCTGCAACCCATCAAATACATATTACGTCAACTAATTGCAACCCATAAAATATGGAATAGCCCAAAATGAGATCCATAAGCGTCCTCTAAATCGCTTAACAAGGTTAAAGATTTAAATATTGATAATTATGAATGAAGTAAATTTGATTGAAAGGATTATGTTTAATTTTATAATATCCGATTCGAATTAATCAATCTATAGATTTAATACTGAAGTTCTCAAGATTGTTTGGAAGTTTAGGTGTGTAGTATTTGATTTTTTTTTTGTTATTTCAATAAAGTACAATGTTTTGTAAAAAAAAAAAACAACAATCATGAGCTGATACCTCAAGTCCCGAAATTTCAGGCTTCAGATCAAACATGTTCAAAAAAATAGAAGAAAATCAAGCAGGGTCTGGTTAATTAATAATAAGTGATGACAAGTTGGAGAGATGAAAGTCAAGCAGGTTGCAGAAGACCCACAAAGTGTTGCCCAACCGCAATGATTATCCTCATTATTTACTTTGAAAGATCCAATGCAGGCAAGGCTGCTACAATATATTATAAAATGAAATAAAATCGATTAATCCAGATTCGAGATAACCCTCCCAATCTAATTTATTTTATTCATAAACATCAGAATTCCAACTTCGGACCTTGTTTAAGGGATCTAATGTCTTATCTCACTAGATCAACTGGTTGTTGGTAACTAGTAACCTATTAAATTCTGCATATTATTGACTTTGCCAAATCATTGGTATTCAAAGCTGAAAATTTGAATTTGATCATACATGTTCCTGAGAAAGTATTGAATAATTCTGCATACAAGTTCTAATTTTTTTACAAAAAGATCACCATAAAGTTCAGAAATGATGCATTGATTTGCCGTGTGTGGTACTGCAAGTTGGGGCCCCTAGGCTAAGGTGTGATCAATAAAGATAATTGTTATGTTGAATGGTCCACAAGACCAATCCAACCCGACGACTGTATCTAAATGTATCGTCCTTAATGTTGTTGACAATGGGGAACATGATCCTGCATTTGGACTGTTGTAGGTATTTATGATATCATTCCCATGTCAAAATAAACTATAAAACTGCATGACAACCCATTTTCTTTTATAAAACAGGATAAACTACTTTAATAATCACTAAACTTCTATGCCACTAATATTTAGTCACTAAACTTTTAAAATTTATATTAGAGTCACTAAAACTCTTATCGTACCCTCATTTTGGTCGCGGTCGTTAATGAATTAATATCCCAATAAGATATCGACATTAATAAAATGACATGGATATGCTAACTCAGCCGTTGTTAATGCCGATTCAACAAACGTTAACAACAATGATTAAAATGAAAGCATAATAAGAGTTTAATGTAACATCTCAATTCGACTCAGTTAAAAACTGAATCAAAGATGTCATATTGACTGATCTAAATTTGATGACCAAAACGCATACATTCTAAAAATTCAGTTACCATTAATATAGTTCATCCTTAAATATTTCATTGATTATAATATTATATCATATATATCACCGAATGTAGTTTATCTACAACGTCAAAAGGGCCCAAAAAAGAAAACATCTGCAGGTCTCATTCTCCAGCCTCCTGCCAATTCAAGGGATCTCTGGTCAATAGAATGATTTAAAAGTTGGGTTTACCTCATGGAATTCGAACTGGGACAAATAAATACAAGATTCGTTAATCACTGTTGCAAGTGTTTCTTTTGCAGTCAAAACTGTCGATCACTGCTGCAAAATTATCACACCGACTTTCAATCTCTCAACAAACTACGTTAAATTCCTTGTATCATTCAATCAAGCCTTTCTTTCAAGGGTGAGTTCGTGACATCCGAGAGAAGAAAAAGAGAAATTCGTGTTTTTTTTTTCTCATTTTAAATCTGTTTGATCGATCATAAACAAAAATTCTTTCTTTTCGGCTTACCGGTTTGTTACCTGCAAAAGCATGATTGTCAAACAGCCCATCCTATTGTTCATATCGATCTTTCTGCTTTCATCAATCATCACAACTCGATCATCCAAGTATTGTGATCGATCATGTGGTGACAAGTCTGTCCCTTTCCCATTTGGATTCTCTGCCGACTGTCAAATCCCTCTAAATTGCAGCTCAAATAACCAGCAGCTGATTGCCGGTTTTCCGATCTTGACAATAAACGCTGATCGTATAAAGATAAGTGTAGAAGCCACTTGCGACCGTCCGCTTGAAGCTCTTCATCGTCTCTATGGCCCCGGTTATGCCCCATCATCCAGGAACGCAATTCTGTTGCAAAACTGCAGCTTGCCGAAGCCATGCATGATTCCAACAACGACCGTTTACACTCATTTTGAGGCCATCGGTTGCTCTTCGAATGACAGCAGTATAAGTTGCTATTCAGAGAACAAAACTAATAATGGTTTCGTTGATTACGATAAGGTGACTCGAACCAATTGCAAGTCCTTTCTTTCGTCCATATCAGCTGAATCTTTCGATGAATCTGGTGTCCTGGAGGTCCAGGTGGTTGAACTAGGGTGGTGGCTTCAAGGACGGTGCCCGGATTATTGTTCTGGAAATGCCTTCTGTGATGAAATTGTTCCTCCGTTAAATGGGCGTCCGGGATTCCGCTGCAGGTGCAAAAACGGGTTCATCGGCGATGGATATCTCGCCGGCCATGGTTGCCGGAAAGGTCAGTTCTTTCTTTCATCCCGAATTTCTTTGAAATTTTACTTTAATATTATTATCCAGCTTGATTTTATTTATTTATTTATTTTGATGCTGCATTCAAACTTTGCATTAAAAAACACCTTTGCTAATGCCAAAATAGAAGTCTTTGGCAAACAATGAGAATAATCAAATGATGTACTTCAGCAGCTTTTTCAGCTTTTAGAGATATTTTAAAGTGCTAAACGTTGTTGCAAAGAGAAGGTCTAAAGCAGAAGAGCAGCCACAGAAGTAGATTCACGTCAACAGTTACGATGGCAAAACATTATTGTCAACATCGTTCCCTCAAATTTTATAAGCACAAGCTGATATAGAATTTTATTTTCATCTCCGGTAATCATTAATTTCGAAAAGAACCAAATTTTCTTTCATCATATATGCACATACAGCGAGATCGATCGATCTTTCCTGATTTTCTTATGTCCGATGAAAACCTCAGGTTGTGGTAGTAAGAGGTTAGCGATTTACCTGAAATGGGTAGTTACACCTACATTGAGGGACCCCATGGTAAACTTTTTAGTTATTGCAGCAAACCCCACTGTGTTAGACCCTTTGACATATCTGGGAAGCTAGAAACGAGACAACAATCAAATCATATTAGTAAAAAGCTAATGATCGTATATGTAATTCATGTACAAGCCAGGAAAAAGATAGATGGAGAAAGCAACAGCCCTGGAATCCAATGGTATTAGGTGGCTGTAGGCTTTTGATAGTGCCAAGATTAGAGCTTATCTCTTTCCGGTGAAAAGGAAGTCATTAAGCATTATACCCCTACAATGGTCGAATTCATACATCGAGAATAGGTAAAATTTGTATGCAGATATGATTAATTAGACGCATTAGTGGAGAAAGAAAAAATACTGATGGATTTGTAATGATAGTAATCAACGTAGAATCTCAGCATAATTGCAGATGATTTTATTAAACCAAGCTGCTTTGGTTGATTTTGCAAAATACTATGGTCGTTGTTGGAGTTGATTACTAATCAAGATGTTCCTGAAAGTTTTCTTTATATTAGAATGTCGTCTGTTTAAAATTATGCATTTATCTATGAACTGCAAACTTCAGATTGCAACACTGCAAGATACATTTCAGGAAAATGTGGAGGAAAGATTGGACTGGCTCTTCGGATTGGAGGTAATCATAATTCAACATCAGACATTCTTATTTTATTGCCATATGATATGATTGGAATTTAGGCATTCCACTGAAGATGACTTGATGTTTCTCATACAATGAATACAAATTGGAATTGTTTTGTTTCCTCCTGGACATGCAGTACTGATGTTGGTGTTCATTTTTTTCTCAGGCATTGCACTTGGAGCATTTTTGATGATCTGTGCAGTGCTAGTATGCTGCTTTATGAAGAGACAATCCGAGTCAAAAGACCGACATAGCACGAAACGCTTCCTATTGGAAGCTTCAGACATCAGCATCCCCATTTATACATACAAAGCAATAGAGAAAGCTACAAATGGTTTCTCAGAGAAACAAAGGCTTGGAACTGGGGCCTTTGGAACAGTGTATGCAGGGAAACTCCATAACAATTCATGGGTTGCTATTAAAAGGATCAAGCATAGAGACACTGATTGCATTGAACAAGTCATGAATGAGATCAAGCTAATTTCATCTGTCAGTCACCAAAATCTAGTGCGCCTCTTGGGATGCTCCATAGAAAATGGTGAACAAATACTTGTGTACGAGTTTATGCCCAATGGAACATTATACCAGCATTTACAAAGAGAGAGGGGTGATGGACTTCCCTGGCCGGTTCGCCTCACGATTGCTGCTGAAACTGCACAAGCCATTGCTCATCTGCACTCGGTTATAGATCCCCCAATATACCACAGAGACATCAAGTCAAGCAACATTCTCCTAGATTACAATTTCAGGTCCAAATTAGCAGATTTTGGTCTTTCTAGACTTGGAGTTACCGAAATATCACACATCTCAACAGCCCCTCAAGGAACACCAGGTTATCTTGATCCTCAGTACCATCAGAACTTCCATCTTTCAGACAAAAGCGATGTTTATAGTTTTGGGGTAGTTCTCATCGAGATCATAACAGCAAAAAAAGTGGTGGACTTTTCTAGGCCTCCAAATGAAGTTAATTTGTCTTCTGTTGCCACTGACAGAATCGGCAATGGTCGTTTAGATGAGATCATAGACCCATTCCTAGAGCCAAATAGTGATTCTTGGACGTTATCTTCAATCCACAAGGTGGCAGAGCTGGCTTTTAGATGCTTATCATTCCAGAGGGACATGAGACCAACAATGATGGAAGTAGCATTGGAATTGGAACAAATCAGACCAAGTAGATGTGCTCCTACAGAAGAAATCACATGTGCAACTTCATCAGAAGTATCTCCTTGCTCCTCCTCATCCAATCTAAGTGAGCAGCCACTTAGCATGGCTGTAAATAACAAGGATGGACCGGAAAATAGAGGCCTATTCATGCTTGAGATGAGCAGCGTTGGTTGTATGAACTTGATCGAAAAACTGAAGGATAATTCTCCTGTATCAACCAAGGACTCATGGTTGAGTGAACAAAGCTCGCCTTCAACGAGCAGTTTGCTGAATAATGTAACCCATTAACCATAAGTCACTCTTTCTTCGGATTTCAACGTCAGCTTAAGCCTGTTAATACTTAGTTCCATCAATGCAGTACCAAAGTTTTGTCCCTCTGCATTGTTTGCAAGAGTCCCTAGTGTATGTATATGTCTGTAGACACTGCTGAAACTTCTCTCTTGGTTGTCTTTCTCTCGCTGAATGTATCATAAAAATGTTGTTCGAGCTTGTGGACACGAGAATCGAGTGACGGATAAAAAGAGCATAGCTACAAGAAACATGCACATATTTTATTGTATTACAGTATATAATAGGGTTATCTCAAGTACTTCATCAACACAATAGCTATATAATAAACAATCCGTTATTCTCTCGCCAAAAGGTTTACTTTTCTATAATTAGCTCGACATGTATGCATTCCTCGAAGCCTTTTCCTTGTTTGATTTAATATTGGGGGAAGGCCTAGATTGTTACAAATAAATCCATAAAAATTAATTAATGCCTAATGGAGGGCTCAGATTGTTACGTTTGCCCATGGAAAGTGTCCAACGGCTGGCCAACTTTGCGGCGGGAAGCTTTTTAATTACCTAGAAACTGAAAACCAACTCGCAGTCGTACTCGTACCTATGGGAGAGCTTGGGATTTGAGTGGTGACTGAGACCAGCAATTTCAATCGACGCTGCTACTAAAACCATAAAAGATGGAACTTCAATCGGTTTGCTTTGGATTTCGTGTCCCAAAGTTCAGTCATCGATTCTCTTATCAACCCGTAAGTAAATCTATCCTAATTTCCGATCAAGTTTGTTACTTTCATAACGTTAAACCTCGCCATCCCATTTATGTTCTTTCATTAATTTTATCAGAGTCGGAAACTCACTCTCATCTCCAATGATCAAAATCTAAAGGCTCCTGTAAGCAACATCATAAGAAGAAGAGGAAATGTCGGGCTGGGAGATGCGTCTAAGTGTACATCTTATGCCTCTTTTTTTCGGACTTCTTAGTGTTTAACGTTTGTCCCTTATTTGTTAGAACTAAAAGAACCTTTCTTTTGATAAAAATAATTCAGGGTATTTAAGGTTGTGGAGAATGAGCAGATGGGGAATAATAGCGTGTGCTTCTGGGTCTGATCAAAACTATTGTTTGAACCATACTGGAACTGAGAGGGAAAAATCTGGTGTGACTGTTAGTAAATTTGGTGGGGTGGAACCGTTTCATGGTAAATCGGGTATGTTTCCTTTCATGGGCTATCTCATTCTCACCAGCTAGTGGAAGAGAGCACATTGAAGTCGGCTCCTTTACAAGAAGGAAAAGGATCCTTCCTCTGGGTTTTGGGACCCATTGCATTGATTTCTTCATTGATCCTTCCAGAGTTCTTCAGCTATGCAATTGAGGCATTTTTCAAGGACGAAACACTCGTTAGTACTCTGATTCAACTTTATCTTTTCCTTACTCCGTTTTTACATAAACATGGAGACAAATTTCATTAGTGGTACTGCGGTGTGTGTGTAACAATAAAGAACAAATGTAATTATTTTGCACGACTATATTGTTCAGAAATTGTGTCCTCGTTTTCCTTTGAAGTGCTATTCTATATTGGCCTTGGCGTGTTCTTTCTGGTGACTGATTATGTTCAAAGGCCCCCTATCTGCAATTCAGTCCCAAGAGGTGGGGTCTAATTACAGGACTCAGGGGTTACCTATCATCCTATCTCGTCGCAACGGGTTTAAAGGTAGTTACTCCTCTTGTTGCAGCCTTTGTAACTTGGCCAGTGTTCGGTTTCGAACTCTGTTTTGAAAACCGGACCGGATCGGCAGGTTCAACCGAGAACCGTTACTTAGTCCGATTCAATCTAAACCGGTTGAACCGTTATTAGTGAACCGGCAAGAACCGTTGAACCGTTCGAACCGGACCGATTCAAACCGAAAAAAACCGAGGAAAACCAGGATTTTTTTTTTTTAAAAAAAATTAAACCAAACAACGTCGTTTGTTAAACGAGCCAAGTCGAACTCGAGTATTGCTGAGCTCGACTCGAACTTGAAAACTTTAAAAGTAAGCTCAACTCAACTCAAACTCACAAGCTAAAAATTATCAAGTTCAACTCAAACTTAAAATATAATATTGAAACTTGAACTCAAAAAGGCGTGAACTCAAAAAAAAATTAGAAGCTCGATTGAAGCCTAAAATTCGAGCTTGATTGAAGTGAAAGAATAGTTCACTCAATGCTCACCAAAAGGTTCCATGATTTTGAATGCCAAATTACCTCTATTATTTATAGAAGTTAGTTGTGATGCGCTTCTATGTTTCTTAGCAATGTGAGATTGTTTTGTTCTCATATTTTTACTCTTTAGACTTTTGGGATGCTCTTCTATGTTTCTTAGTCATGTGGGATTGTTTTTAAAAAAAAAATTAAACCAAACAATATCATTTTGTTATGATTTTTTAACCCCAAATTTATTTTTTAATTATAATTATATAATTATATTTATTATTTAATATGTTTTACCTTAAATATTATGTTGTAGTTAATTTGAATCATTTTGTTTCACTTGATTTTATGGTTTTTAACTTATATATGTTATGACTTGCTTTGAATATGACTTGTGATATAAAAAATTATTTTTTATTAAATATTTTTGATATTTTTTATTTAATTTTTTAAATAATTATGACGTCGTCCGGTTCTTCCGACCGGTTAAATCAGTAAACCGATAATATGACCGGTTCATTAATCAGTCCGGTTCTGAAAACTATGGTTTCGAAGCCCTAGTTGGGGTGGCTCCTTTCCTGGTAGGCTGTGCTGCTCAACATGTACTCGAGACGATTCTTGACAAGTGTCAGTCATCTTGTTGGCCCCGGGTTCCTATCATTTTTGAGGTATTTGGTCTTTGTGCCAGATTCATTTTCGTACTAAAGACAGTATAAGATGACCGACAACTTCGTATCTGATTTTGCAGGTGTATAGATTGTATCAGTTGACCAGAGCTATTCAATTCATTCAGAACTTCATGTCCTCGATGAAAGACTCCCTAAGAAACCCGGAGATGTTCAAGTGCGGCGGTGCAACTGTTGGGATGGTGGTAACTTTCCAAGTCCTAGCTGTGGTTTGCCTTTGGTCGTTGATGACATTTCTTTCTCCAACGGCTTTGTCCTTCTAGACCGGTTGAAGAGAACTATTGATGATTGCAAGGGTGGTATATAGTCCATGGTTCTTGGTTTTGAAATTTGAATCTTCAAATCGTATCCATTGGATATCTATGAAGCTCCAGGACCCAAGGCATGTTCATCTGTAGTACATAATAGGAGAAATTGAGGGTATTATTTACTTGTTTCTAAAACTGTTTGATTTATTTTATCCTTTTATCATAGTTCAATAAAGTTGCAGCCATTATTCACGACTACTAAATTACTTCAGCATGTATATCTGAACTTATATTGAAGCATTCATAAACAAAACTTAAAACCTGCAGGAATTTTACTGACTTTAGAAGTGAGGGTAAAGCCAAATGATTTCATGGTTCTCTCTCTTTTTTCTTATAGAATTGCAATCATACAAAAGAAAACTAGAAATTTTCTAGCATTACTCAATTCTATAACCTGCATAGTTGGACTTATAATTCTATTGGATAAATAATCTTATAGAGTTAATGACTTGCAGAGTAGAGAAGCATAAAAAAAACATTTTATTGTATTGAGGCAATTTACTATTCTTTCAGGCTCCTCCAATCTGGTTAATGGCCCTCTCCAAAATCAAGAGCCTTTTGATGGATTTCAAGATTGAAAACTTCAGAGAACTCTTTAATCAAGGACTTGTAGGAGATATTAATCAACTCATCATCATCAGAAATTGGTTTAACCGCTTCACTGCGTAGTGTAGATGACTGAAATTCTTGAAGCAACCCCTTTACGCTTCCAACTTGGCGATCCTGTAACCCACATGGAACTATCCAATTGAATGGAGTTAGGTCTGTGGTGACATTAAGTGCCAACCCATGGTATGTTATCCACTTGGATACTCTTACACCAATTGCAGCCAATTTCTGATTTCCTGAAGCAAAATTTTCTAGAGATCAAAGACAATCAAGAAGGCTAAGGTTCTTTTCTAACTAATGAATTTGGATTTGAAAAATGGCATTGTAATATGGATACAAGTGCTACTATCATAGACAATGACGAAATCTTTGTATTACCAACTACTGGTCCAAGCGGCTAGACAACACAAAAACTACATGGTCCTAGACTTAATCACCATTCACCATGATGCCAGGACCCTCAATTTCATAGCAATTAACAGATGGAGAAAAACAAACCATAATGATTGCTTGCTATCTTTAGACTTCAATTGGAAGCCTAAAAGATACATAATTCAAGAAAAAATAATCGAAACGGAAAAAAATTCATTGAGCCATGCAGTCTGACGGGGGATGCAAATTTTTATCCCTTGCCACTTGAAACATCATCCCACTTTAACAACAAAATATCTATAATCCTTTGCTTATTTCCTCAGCCTGCAATGTGCTACAGTAAATGCTCAATTTCAAAGGGAAAGAACTGTGAAGACATGGTTGACAAACTTATAATAACAGGCTAGCTTAACCATGCTCAAAGTGGAAACAAATCAAGCATCAAAAGAAAGGAAAAGACAAGAAATCTTACCAACCCAAACACCCGTTAAACCCTCAATCCTAGAAGCCTTAATGGAAAATGATGATGAAAGAACACGAATCACCAGCTCCTCAAGTGTCCTAAGATACCAATGAAGATCCATCTTGTGATTCCGGAGATTAATAATAGGATACATAACTAGCTACATTCCAGTATAGGTAATACAAGAAAAGAAGTTAGTCCAAAGAGAAAATCACCCAGAAATCAAATTAATTTCACATTCTTAGTCATGTAGGTTTTGAAACTATACCTGTCCAGGTCCATGGTAGGTAACTTCCCCGCCGCGTTCAGTTCGGTAAACATCAAAAGGAGTTTCCTTCATGTCAAAATTCAAAAACTTTTCCGAGCTGCCAGTGCCCATTGTATAAACAGGGTTATGCTGAAGAATGATTAATGAATCTGGGCAATCCTCATGCTCTTGAATCAATGCTTGTTTTTGTTTAACAATTTGTTTCTGCCAAGACCACGCCTTTCCGTATGGAATAAGCTCCTTGTGCAAATCAAAAGACTCGCACCTGTCGGATTTCAGTTTAAAAAAAAACTTGAGTTGTTTGCGAAAATGGCTGAGAAAAAAACAGAGCAACTTACGCTTTTGTTTTTGTTGGGATTACTGGGTTGAGTTGGTGAGGAGGATCCTTTTGTTGCTTTAGGGTTATGAGTTTTGTTGGGATTGTTCTGAAACACAGGTTTGGTGCAAGAATCATAGCTTATGAATCTCTGTAATCAAGCATGATTGAACAACATTGGTTTTCTCACCGAAATGCCATTTCCTCGGGGATTTTAATGTCAATTTATTCAAGTGGGGATTTCACATGCTGATTTGTGGGCTTTTTTGTCTTTTCAATTGATAACAGAGAAGCCCCAACTCCAAAGCCCCTCAGCCACGATATATATGGTCAAAACCACCAGGCAAGGCAAGGCAAGGCAAAGCCATCTCGGGCTTCTTCAATTCGGCTGCCATATCTGTGTGAGCCTGCAATTGTTAAATTGCTTTAGGGTTGAATTAGCGGCGATGATGATCTTAAAACGACCTTTTATTTTCTGAGGCATATCTCTTGTGATGGAGCTTCAAAGCTTTTTTGAGCCGTTTCTTAATAAGTATTTCAGCAATTTTTTTCTTGGGTCAAGTCTTTTTCGTCCCCTGATTTTGCCAGAAACTGTAATTTGGTTCTTCATGAACATGAATTTTTTTGGCGATCACAATTCATCTGGGGAGTCTTGATTCTGTTGTTCATCGACTGCAACTGTTTATATTCACAACCTTTTTTAAAACAGCTTTTGGAGTTTTAGCAATCATTCATTATTTAAACAGCTGTCACATATTCAGCTCTAAGGTTTTATTACTCAAATTTATAAAAATTAGTTTAATATAATAACACCCATTGAAGATTATTTTTTGAATTGACATTCATTTGAATAAAGCATTTTATGCACGTGAAACCTAAATTTTTAAAAAAAATATAGTTTTCTCTTATAGGTATACTGTTCATCATAAATTTCATTTTAAAATTATATATAAATATCTGATTTATTGATCACGTATGAAATTATACTTGACAAGCACACCAAATATTAACCTAAAAGAATTGTACTTGTATTTACCAAAACCATTAAATATAAATTAAATTTTTAACTAGTTATAAAGGTAAAGGTGCGGAGAGATTCAAATTTAAGGGTTTCAACCCTAACAATGAAAGGTGATCCCTAACTAGCCATGTTTCTTCCCTCATTACGATCCAAAAGATAGAACACAATGGTGGGAGTTTGTATGACGAATTAAACAGCATGTAAGACTAGGAGCTGGAGTTTTTGTTTATCCGTTAGAGAGGGTAAAGAACAGTGCTTGGATGTATCATTTACAAACTCTTGCGTCAGTGTTTGACCCTAATGGACATCTTCGTCTCCGTCCCTCTCCCTTGAAAAACAAAACAAAAATCACTCTGAAGCGTACGCACTTTTTTGAAGGAAGAAACCAGATGGGGAAAGAGGCTGACAGCGTCGTTCACGTGTAGTGGTAAATGCAACCCATAGCCATTCAAGTGATGGAATGAACCAAGTATGTTAACATGTTGGCTGGCAATGTAGTCCTACGAAGGATGAAATACAACAGGACTCTTCAATTCAACCCTGGGTGGATTTGAATTTAGTAAAGAACAGAAATTGTAAAAGCAACACAGCAAAACTAAAGCTGACAAACAAACCATGTTACACTGGACATGATACAACATCAACTCTTGTCCGATAACGAATGAATATAATGGGTAACTTTGAAATAAATTGAAATATCGGTTTTTTTGGGTGGGAGGGGGGGGGGGTTGTCTATTATAATACAACAATAATAAATTATAACAAGAGCAAAGCTAACACGGCTCCCTACTCCAAATTGAAAATACAAGAAGATTATACACAGGGCAAGCTCTCTCCCTTTACATGGAAGCAAGAAGGTCTCTCATTTCACTAACCGATGGGATGGTTTCCGTGGGATAAATTTTGGCAACCAGTTGGGCAAAGCTATCATACTTGTCCAGGAACTCTTTCTGTCAAATTTCCAAGAAATAAAAACTAGTAAGAAACCAGGAATAATATATCACCAAACCAACTCAAATTCCCTCCTTCCTTCACCCGGGTTTTGTTCACAATGCCATTTTCATTAGCCACTTTGAAAATACTTTGGTAAAGAAATCGGTTTTAGAAAGAGAAGTTAGCTTACCTTGCACTTGTCCCACAAAGAGGGTAACAGTTCCTCAGACGTTAAGTTCTTTTGCAACTTCTTATACATAGATGCAATGGATTTGTCAACCTGTAATAGACAAGAATCAAGATATAAATTCCGCATTTGAGACTAAAGGACAATGTGTTCCAAAAGTTTATTAACTCACCCCAGATAAACTGGATTTCAACATCTTCCGTAGATCCATCTTAGACAATCCAAGCTGAAAAGGTATCTGATATTCGTGAAGGAAAAAATTAGCCTCCAAACCATTCATTTGTTAACAATCGGCAAACGTCTGGATATAACTATTGCCACTAATTTCATCATAGAAAATAAAAGTTTATTCCAATTTCTCATGGGATTCTGGATATGTCTAAAAAAGGGGTTGGAATGCATATTAAGATTTGTACGGTAAATTTAGTTAAAACTGGACAGATGGGCTCTCGAGGAGCTATCTGATGAAACTCTGCATAAATTAAGAACCTGGCAAGGTAAAACCATTTACATGCTAACCTCTTCTGCTGAAATTGTAAACATTAAATCCTCAATTTTTCGAGCAAACTGGAAAAGTCGTTCAAATTGCTGCAAAGAGAAAACAATTGTAAAGACAGTCGTTGACCAACAATAACAAGTGAAACAACTAAAAAAGCAAACAAGGTGGAATACTTACATAGAATATTATCATGCTGATATGACGTGTACATGCTTGTTCATATGCTTCACTTGCTTGGTGATAAAATTTGGCTAATGTGGGCACAACATTGGCCAGGTCATACAAGCTGTAAAGAGTGCATGGAAAGTGCAAAAAGAATTGGCCTCAAGATACAAGAGAAATATCATATCCACAGCCATAGGAAAAAGAACACACCTATTCTGAAATGCTGCGTAATTTTCTAAAAGAAATATATCAGCATATCTTGGATCCGTTTGTGCAAGTTTTTCAAGAGTAGCGAACATCACACTAACCTGCCAAACAAAATTTGCAAAGTGAATATTCTCAGAGTAATGTAGACATAGACACTCGGAAGACAATAACGAGGGAAGATGGCTGTACATGCTCAAGTCTTATCATGATGCTAAAGGCTACAATATTGTCCATCAACAGCTCACTTAACCACACTCTTCAACTAATCCAAAATAATAAGGATATCAAGTTGGAAATAAGACATACAAATTTGGTGTATGCTTGATCAACCAAGTCCCGTGATTGTCCCTGAATGTACTGTTCCATGCGGGTGGCTAGAGTTGCAAAACTGTCCATAAGTGCATATAAACTGTTTAAAGCCAACTGAAGTAGAACATGGAAAGCAAGCAGATAATCAAGAATCACACAATACTGTTAAGCTAAGCTATTTTGGAAATAACATTTATAGCATACTGATAATATATGCTTATAAAAACAAAAACATTTCGACCATATACGAGAACAACTACTTATATTTTTCTCTTTGCATTTTTATCAGTTTTGATCTCAAACGATGCTGCTCAGACTCTCCATTTTAGGGAAGTACCCATGTCAGACTCATTTCCAACACATGGATATGGAGATATGACCTCAAGAATCCTCCAAATACATGGAAAAACTAAGAAAAGTTTAACCACACACATTGGTGATACATAGCCACATCTGACACTAACACCTGAGTTTGAGTAACATAGGCCTCAACTTTGCCTTCTCTGAAATCTAATAAAGGCTATGATTCACTTTACCGAGGGATGTAAGCCAAGACTCCCACTTGTCGCACATTACGTTCATTTCTTTCAATTTGATGACAAGCCTCATCAACAAACTGCAAATGCAATTGCAGCTAAAACAGGTTAGATCCATACCAAAAGCAAAAGGTCATAAAATTTTCAGTTTCCATATAAATGTACCCGACTGAACTGCATAGAAATTCTTGATTCAAGGGCACCAAGCAGGAGACGTACAAATCCTGCTGCATCAGCTTTCTGGCCAGATAGATAGCGCTCTGTTATCCCATGCATGGATATGCAACGTAAAGGGTCAATCTTGTATGCCCAATCAACTACAGCATAAAAGTCTTCCTGCAGTCCAGGTAACTTTTTTAGGGGAAAAAAAAGAACAAAGAAATTGAGATTGCAAACAAGAGAGCGCCTACCAAGCAACATCATAAAGACATAATATAAACAAGGGAAACAACTACAATGAATGAAAAGGACACACAACCAACCCTAAAATAATGAGCATCACCAAAAAGCACCAAAATTTGGTATGACATTCTGGTTCCAGAAAGTCAGAACAATAAGCAGTGACAGTAAAACAATCCGTAAAAGACAGCAATACGCTTACGTACTTGAATTCCATCAAGCAAATCCTGTAGTGACTCATTTAGTGATTGCAGATCAGCAGAAGTTTTACCTAGTAAAGAGTTTCAACTTTTTTTCAGTTCGAATTAGAGAAAAGGATATTTATTACTGCAAATTACGAAGGTCGCACGAGAAATAATTACCAGCTTTACTATCATTGTCATCAATGTCCATAATGCCCAGATCATCATCATTGGTATCATCATCATAGGATCCACCTTTACTACCGTTAGCGATAGCTCCTGGAGGAGTAAGTGCAGGAACTTCAAAGCACATGAAGTGTGCAAAGAAGGAACTCTGCAGTTTGAGTCATGAAGTAATGAAGTTTCAAATAAAGATAGGCTTTGGAATACATGTGACCTCTTGAACTAATAGAGCAGGGAGGAACTACCTCATCTACAAGTAAGGGAATAAAAATCGTCAGCATTTTGGCATAAGCATCAGAAACTGCAGAGGTGTCTGCACTATTCCCACTTTGACTGCCGCCTGTGGAAGCCTCCAGCCAAACAGTTGGATTTCTTGATGCTTTTGTACTAGCACGAAGCTCATTGGCAAATTCACGAGCCTAAACAGAATTCAACTACTTATCAAGCATTGTAACCAGCATTAAGTTCAAATGAGAAAGACATCTCTTTTTTCCAGATAATTGATAATTTTATTTTGCATTCCCCACCTCTCGACGCAGAAGTAAGTTAAGGGAGCTACAATAAGCTTTCCTCAAAGGACCCAAGCAACTGTTATCAAGACTCTGAGAATGAGCAGGAACAAAAATATTAGAAAAACTGAGACAAAGTGTTACAGATTTTAGAGTTGATCTGCAATTTGACCTTTAAATGTTGCAGAAGGCGAGCATATGTCCTGCATTTATACCGCAAGTCAGCATGATCAGGCCTCTTCAACTGTCCCCTCTGTACAAATCAAGCAGGCGGCCAACATTTAGGAAACAGACACTAAGTTTATACTTATCATAAAAAATGAATAAAAAGAAGGGAAAACCTGAGAGAAATAGCTTTTGTCACTAATCATAAAATCCACCAAACTGGCAAAGTAGTTTCTCAAGAACTCAGAAGCTCTCCGTACAAATGTAGCTTTTAGTTTTTCGAGCTCTGCCCTCTTATCTTTAACCTAAAATAAAGAAGAAAAAGTAGGATCCAAGTTAGTTAGGTAATTCAAAAATTTATAAACTGACCTAATGGCAAGACACATTCTACATATGGATAATTTTCCTAACAACAAATTTCAAAACTGGGGGCATGGGAGAGGGGAGTCCTTACGGCTCGCATTTTAGCATAAGTGGGATCCAAGTTAGGTACTTGAAGGCCACGTAAAGCACCAGTTAACCACTCGCATGCTTCAACATTTTGAAGCATGCGAGCCTCATCAAACGAGCCTCCTGTCAGACATGCTGCATACTACAACCAATAAAAAGCATTGTCAGGGGAAATGCAGGCTACAAACATAGGCTGAATATAAACAAAATATAGTCATCAATGACATACCTCAGATGGGACTCGCAATCGTTCAAGAAGCTTATCAAGTTCCTCAATGAGTGCTTTATTGTTAACAGATTGCATCTCTAACTTGTTGTTCCGGGTCTCTATCTGGTATATTGTGAAATGAAGTTCATACCAACAAAAGAAGAGATCAGATGTTAGAAGTCAGGAATATACATAGTTTAATCTTCATACTTTAACTTCATAACAAAATTAGCAGCAAAGTAGAAGCATATAAATGATGGAATAAAGACCTTATACAGGTTGAAAACAGATCCTACATATTATTAGACTGTATACAAAAGTTCCATACCGACTCAATATCTTCTCTCATATGTCGCAATTTAACATTGAACATCCCTAACCAATCATCCATGTCGTCAACACAACTTGTTGCTTCCTCTAGCCCTTGCAAGACCTGAAAGACGAAGAAAACAATAATTAGTTAGCTTAGTGAGTAAGAAACATATTGGTAATAGTAGAGAATAACAGCATCATCAAATTTGGTCAAGATTTTCGTGTGAAAAAAAAAACAAAAGAATGTCCTAAACATATAAAAATCATTAAAAAAAGCCACAAGGAAAGAGAAAAGGTAAACAGAAGTTGCCCAAAAGCACAGCAACATCTTCATACGAACTATTTCAGAGTAGGCAAACATGATAAGGTGCTTTCAGAGAAGAAACTGGAAATCGAGGTATAAATGGTTCAATTGAGTGTATCTCAAATGGGATTAAACAAGACCGCATAGTATATCTGATAAGTTTGTTGGATACCAAATGCATAAGGGGGTGGTACTAGACCAGAAGAGCCATAAAGGAAAGGAACAATGCACGCTATTGTTCTTATTTATAGGTCCCAACATGGTTCCAGTGGGATTTGAGAATAAAAATAATGAGAAGAAAAACACAATTAAAAAGTAAAAATAGAAGAAATACCTCATCTACTAAAGGTTGACTTTCCAAAGTGGCATGCACATTTGCTGCTTCCAGAGCATGAAGCTCCCGCTTCAACCGTTCAGAAAATGCTTCTGCTTCACCAATGCCCATTACATAACTGTGTACCATATTATGATAAAATAACATTAGGATAGGATTGATGAGCTTCAAAATTTACAAAAACCATATTATTTTTCCAATTATGCAAATGAAACGAAAGACAAAAAATGGAAGAGAAATCAAGAATCATAGACTTCCCTTCAAAAAAGGATAATGGACTTTCTAGGAACTATGACCACTACAAGAACCAACCTGCATCCTCAAACGTTGACTTTAGCTGTGATCTAACCATCTCAGTAATTTGGCAGATGGTACATGAATATCTTAGTTAAAAAATGCAAATGCAACATATAGAAATGAAAATCTGATATTCACTGAAGAACCTTAGAACAGAATAAAAGAACAACATACGTGCCCAATAGAGCCTCCATGTCCTCTTCCTCAGCTTGTGAGACAAGTTCCTTTTCAACACTCACTTTCAAGTCACTTTCTATTACTGTAGTTGCAACGGGCCCATCTTGCAGATTCCTTTGGGTATTGACTGAAGCTTTATTTTCCTAGATGCAATATACAGGTCAAAGACAATAAAGAAAACATAGATTCGTGAACTTATGGACATGGACTTTCTTAAATATTAGGGGAAAACATATCTGCTAGACATTCTAAGCAAAATCAGACGCAGCACTATGAAATTATACTCGTCAGAATGACCACCGATCCAAAAAGATCAAGAAGTTAAAATATCCTTAAACTTTTGACCACTAGGAAAGAATAAATGCATCAATTTCACCTTAGCCCAAAGTGCCATTTCCACAATATCTACACCAACAACTTTGGGAAGACAACCGAGCACATCTTTGCAGATGTTTAATATACAAAATAAAAGGCGGTTTCTGCAAAAATATTTAAGAATAAATTAAGAAACCAACAAAATAAGAAGATAAATATTAATTTTGGTGGAGTGCCAAAAGGAAGGATCCAAAGGGGGGTGGGGGGATGAAACAGCGACAGAAAAAAAAAGTGATATCTTCATTCCAGAGCTATTCCAAACTACCTGTCATCAATGTTGCGCATAGTCCACTGAGGTGGAGCAACACTTTGATTTCTGAGGTTATCAAATCCCTATAAGAAGTTCAGTTAGAAGCTGGGGGAAAAATCTCATGCAAGGAGAGCAAAGAAAAAAAGAACAAGGAAAGGGCTTACCAGAGTAAAAGTACATCCACTTGGATCATTAGTCACAACCTCCACCTTTGAAAGATGCTTCAGCTTGTATAACTTAGCAGGCTGCACAATTTCAAATAATGCTTCTGTCAATAATATGATCTTAAAAACAATAAAACTAGAATACTGACAAGTTAAGACTTAGAAACTTAATCCTTCATCAAATAGTTTCCTGCCCTTTGAAATGAAACTTAACGAATTTTGCTTTAACCTTACACCAGTAATATTCTCTTCTCAGTAATGCTAAAATCAATTGTTTAGAATATCCCACGTTTCACATGTAGAGGTAGACAAATGGCGAGCCAGTGTTTATCATTATTTTCATCAATAGCAAACTTCAGTAAAAATTGAAAAGAAAAGAATCAGTAAAAAGCTATATCCTACTTTTTTTATCTGATGACTTGATTTAATGTACGCAAAAGCCAATTAATCACACACTGATAAACTTCTGGTAACATATAAACCTGATGATAATCAACTATATTAGCATAATGATGCCGGAGAAGCTAGCAACTGTACCAGCAAGTCCTAACAAAAAGTAAATGGGCCGGCACAGCCTCAGAGGTAGAAAACTTTTACAGCTAAGTGCAAATATGCAACCTCAACGACCACCACAATCATTCCAAGCTCAGCTGTAGTAACCGACCACATAGTAACACTATTACAACGCTTAATCAATAAAGAATGGAAAACTCATCGGATCATCTTCCTGCACTTATTTGTGTCTTTCATAACGCACATTGTCTGAAAGATTATACAAGAGATAATTACCTCAAGAACTCCTCCTGAAGAATACTTCAAAACTCGCAAAAACGCTTCAGTTTCCTGACCTTTTGATTTCACTGCACAAATCATAGTTCTTCGTAAGGGCAAGGAAAAATTAAACACTGCAAGAATCCAGTATCATCCCAAACAAGAATCCCCACAGCAGACGAATAAGGCGACACATATCACTTCAAATCTAATCATATTATTTTAATTAAAAAATCCTTCCAAAAGCATAGCAAATATTCCTCGAATTTGAACTGTCCTACCAGTTTTACACAATTCTACAACCGTAATGATTAGTTCATAGTTCATCATCGTATTTAACATAATTCTAGCATAGTCAACAAATTTCAAGTTGAAAGTAAGTGAAAAATGAACGCCACACATTCTAAATTGAAGAAGAGAAAACACTACAAGTGGAAAAGCCGTACCGGAAAGAGAGAGGACTCTAGGTTTAGCCATGTTGCGGCCTAATCTGCCAGATTTGCCCCAGATCCCGCGACTTTTAGCGACGCGAATTGACATCACGATCTTCTGCTTCGTGCCTTCGATTGCGGCTTCGCAAGCTCGCCTTAACTCCTCATCGTCTGCGCTCGACTTCGCCATTTCGTATTCCTTCAACTGTCTACTCCCTTCCTCAACCGATGCTAGCCCCTCAGTTGCCGAATCTCCAAGAGAGAGAGAGACAAAACGAGAGAGAAAATGTGAAAATTGCTTGACTAACTCTTTACAAGACACAGACCAAATAAAAAATACCGAAAGGAGAAGAGTAATACGGGCCGGCTTATATAACTTGAGGACGAAAAATTGAGGAAGTCGGCCAGATTTGCCTGGTTAAACCGGGTTCGGAATAAAGCAAGTCTCTTGCATTTATGAGAGAAAATCGCCTCAGTGACCAAAAATGCCTTATAATATACGATTTTAATCAACTTTTTTTGGATTTACCAAAATGACCAACAAAATCGCAACGCGATCCCCAGAATTACAAATCAGTTTCCAGAATCGCAACGCGAATATGAAAATCGCAACGCGAACACATAAATCGCAACGCGTATCCGTAAACCGCAACGTGTATCCGTAAATAGCAACGCGTATCCGTAAATCGCAATGCGTATCCGTATATCGCAACGCGTATCCGTAAATCGCAACGATAATCCGTAAATCGCAACGAGAATCTGTAAATCGCAACGATAATCCGTAAATCGCAACAAGAATCTGTAAATCACAACACTGAAATTTTGGGTATATAACTACGCAACTGCAGCAAATCATAAACTAAATCCCTAAATCGCAACTCATTCCATCTCCATCTATCACTCTCTCCGGCGACATCCGTTCCTATATCCAACGACATCCTTCCTAATCCGGCAACAGGTTTTAGTTTCGCAGCTCGTCTGTTTAGTAAATTAATTTACAACCATGAAATCATCTAATGTTGATCATGTTTGGATAGATTTGTGTTTTGGAGGGTCATGGGATAATGTTCATGGTGTTTTACAATATATGCCTTTACCCATGAATCTTCAACTAAAATTGTCTTTACAAAAGTTAACTTATGAAACTCTAATGCTACGTGTTTCAAAGAAATTGAATTTAGAGCCCCTAAGTGGATTTAGGTTATCTTATCAGAGAAATGTTAAAGTTTATTTGTTAACCGACAATGAAGATGTTGAACGATTCATTGCTTACATTAGTGTTTCACAAGATGATGTTACATTGTATGTTGTTGAACCTAGAAGTAGTATTGTTGGGTCAGTAGCGGGTAGTAATCAACTAAGTTTTTCTCAAAACCCACAACCTTTCTCTAATCCAAATCCCAATCAACTTTCAGCACCAAATTCCGGTTTTCGTATTGACCAGTTAGACGATGATGAGCCAACAGAAAAAATTGTGAGTACTAGTCAGTATTCGAAATTTGGTCTTGGTCAATATCCGGACTTTGATATTGGTCAATACACGGATTTTGATGATGTTTCAGAAGAAGAAACAGACCCTGCGTATAATGATTTTGATATTGGTCAATACCCGAATTTTGATGATGAAACAGTCGTTGCCGAAGAAGGTATTGTTGATGATAATGAGGAGGAAGTTACGACTGTGAATGAACATGTTGAACATCCATTCTGTAATTCATATAATCCTGAAGAAGAAAAAGAAGAAGAAAAAGTCCCCGAAGAAAAGAAAATGCCACGGGCGTATAACTGGAATATGCCAGAATTACTTCAGATACCGGAAGAAGAGTTGGTAAAGAAAGCAGTTGATTGTTACACAAAAGTTATTCGTATCAAGAAAGATGATTGTTTTGATACAAAGGAAGACTTGAAGATAGCTTTGTATACGAAATGTGTGGAAGATGGCTATCAACTAAAAATTAACAAATCAAGCAAAGATCGTTTCGAAACAAGGTGTATGATTGACAAAAACTGTACGTGGCGTATGATTGCAAAGAGAATAAAAGATTGCGAAATGTTTCAAGTTAGGACTTTTATTGATAAACATACATGTTCAAGAACCCAAGTTTTTCCTCACCATAGACAGGCAAACAAAAAGGTGTTGGGTGGTTTTCTGGCTGAGTTAATGTTTTTGAATGGCAGGGTATATCGGGGACATGAAATTATGACTGACATGAATGCTCGGTTCAAGATTAGTATATCATATTCTCAAGCTTGGAGAGCCAAATGTTATGCCTTGGAATTGTTGAGGGGGTCGCCAGAAGCATCGTTTGCCCAACTGCCGGCTTATTGTCACAATTTAAAGCTGAAAAATCCTGGGTCGGTAACTCATATCAAAACAGATAGAGATGGACACTTTGAGTTGCTGTTTATCGCCATTGGTGCTACGGTTAGTAAATCAATATAATTTTGTTGACTCATTTTGTTAGTTACATGCATTTCACATTTAAATGATTATATTTCTTGTGTATATTATTTTGTAGATTCGTTCGTTTATTACTTGCATGCGCCCAGTTATTATAGTTGACGGAGCACATTTGAAAGGTCGATACCTTGGAGTAAACTTATTAGCAGTAGCCATGGATGCTAACAATGGGATATTGCCAATAGCTTACGGGGTTGGCAAATCTGAAACCTCTGATTCATGGACATGGTTTATGGGGCATCTTAGGGATTGCATAGGTCCTATTAGCAATCTGACAATCATATCTGATAGGGCAAACTCAATTGACAACGCTGTTAGAAGGTGTTTCCCAGATGCTTTTCATGGACTTTGTGGTGTTCATTTGTATAGAAATCTAAAATCAAGGTCTGCTGGTATAAAAAGCACAAATGGACATACTGGAAGGCTGTAAAAGCTTATCGGGAAGTGGATTTCAATAAGCATATAAATTGTTTAAGACGTGTTTTGCCTCAGTGTGCTCAAACACTAGAAGATGTCGGGTTTGAAAGATGGTCAAGAGTACATCAACTTGGAGCAAGATATGGTTTCATGACGTCTAATAGTGCAGAATCAATCAACGCTCTAAGTCGTCATTCCCGGAAATTACCCATTACTATGTTAATGGAGTTTTTTCGAGCCTCTATTCAACAGTGGTACTACAAGAAAAGAAACCATGCAGGTATTATTTCTTTGAATTCGTAACTTATCATATTTATATTTTACTAAGTATTGTTTATTTAAATTTACAGGAACATTGGAACATCGTGTTACACCATGGACTGAAAAAAAGATAACGAAACGTGTTGTGAAGTCAACGTCATGGAGAGTTGAACCATGTTCAAACACTTTGTTTCAAGTACTGGATAATAACTTAAATGGGCTAGTCGATCTAAATGCAAAGACGTGTAGTTGTATGAAATGGCAAACATCTGGTTATCCGTGTGGCCATGTTATAAAAGTTGCTCTTCATTTAAACCAAGATGATTCAAGCGCATACGCTATGGATTGCTACACTACAGAAGTTTATCGACAGACTTATGCCGAGATTGTCTACCCTATTCCACATCCTTCTGAGTGGGACATACCAGATGACTTACAAACAGTTTTGCCACCAGCCATGGACAGAAGGCTACCTGGCCGACCAAAAAGTCACGATCGTATACCGTCTAAGGGTGAAGAGAAGAAGAGATCGACATGTAGTCGGTGCAAGGAAAGTGGTCATACAAGGTTGACATGTGGATCACCAGTGCCATCACAATCATCTTTTCCTCTACCAAAATATGGATCCTCATCAAAATCCAAAGCTCATATGGTGTCAAGCAAAAGGCAATCATCTTTAAAATCCCAATCACAACTGGCTTCACCTTTTGGGACTGTTAACTTAGGTGATTTTTAAATGCAAACGTTGTATTATGTGGATTTTATGTGTGAACTTTTAACATTTTCAGTTGAATTAATGACCCAGGCCAACCATTTTGACTTAACCAACTCTTGTTATTCAGTTGTTATCACTTATTAGGCATGCATTTGACTATCGCAACACGGAAATTACAATCGCAACGAGAGAATCGCAATGCGAAATGAAAATCCCAACATGAAAATCGCAATGCGGAAATGAAAATCGCAATGCGAAATGAAAATCGCAATGCGAAATGAAAATCGCAACGAGAGAATCGCAATGCGGAAATGAAAATCGCAACGAGAGAATCGCAATGCGGAAATGAAAATCGCAATGCGAAATGAAAATCGCAACGAGAGAATCGCAATGCGGAAATGAAAATCGCAATGCGAAATGAAAATCGCATTGCGATTCTCTCGTTGCGATTTTCATTTCCGCATTGCGATTTTTATTTCGCATTGCGATTCTCTCGTTGCGATTTTCATTTCGCATTGCGATTTTCATTTCGCATTGCGATTTTCATTTCCGCATTGCGATAGTCATTTTTGCCTTCAACATAATGCAGATTGAAATCAACAAAATCAACCATTACATTTCAATCAATTAAACAAGCACAAATAAGAATTATGTCCGCATCAATTACACAAATCAACTTTTACAAATCATCTTTTACAAATCAATTAAACAATCAAAAAATAAGCAATAATTCTTATTTCCAATCATCTACTATTGAATCAACTTTTACAAATCAATTAAACAATCAAAAAACAATCAATTAAACTATTGAATCAACTTTTGCAGCCATACATCATTTTCACGCAGTTCACTTCTGAGATTAACCTGCAGAAACCAAACATTTGCTCAAACAACACTTTCTACACATCTAAAACCTACAAACAACAAATTATTGAATTCTAGGTACTTAACCAAACATTTTCAAACCAAAAGTCTATAAACTTACCAATTGTTTATGGACATTTTTATAACGCGGATGCAGGTAGGCAGCGTCTCGTATATATCGATTTAGCCATATAATGCCGAAACTACAAGCTTACTGCAGCTCTATCTCTATCGGTGGGAGGTAGATACTTGGTGCTTCCCGTCGTCAAACGCTCCAACGCCAAGCATACGAGAGGACCACAATCTCCTCTGGCTCCTTCCGTTTGTTGTGGCGCGGTCTCGTCTCTAATAACTGTAATATTGAGCTTCTTTGGCTTCTTGTTTCCAGAACGAGTCCAATAATTGATCGCATCCAAGAATTTAGCCAAATGAGAGCTCCATCCCTTAATAATATCTCTTAAATCAGCCAATGATATGTAATTTATCATGCTGTCATACACTATTGTCTTAAGGGATGGGAGCTGAAGCTCGACGAGAATCCAATGTTTACGTTCCAAAACAGGGATAAACACCTGCAATCATAAGTAATAATTCATTCATTTGCGCACTTATTTCATAAAACCTTTAAACTTA